AGTGGCCGCTGCTCGTCCATGAGTGGAAAATGGCTTGGTTGGTCTGTGCACAGATGCAAAAAACGTTATGACTCGTGAGAAGACTAGCACACGCCCCAAAGACCCTGGTCTGGGTTTTTAAGTGTTCTCAATGAGTGGCTTGCCACTCACTTTATATAGCCCTGGTCTGATGGCAGGCTCAAATCACGCAGCAGCGACGTAGTATGATAGAATCACGCATGAAGAATGCTAGGCATATCAATAAACCCTCATAATGAATTATAGAAGTCCGCATCTTGTTCCTATCCAATGAGCCTGCTGTACAGTCGGCTAGGTAGCAGCCAAGATGATCTCAGTATGCTCAAAAAGAAAGGAAATGGTGCCTATTTCTGTGACTGACGGCAGAAATCATGGGAGCGGAGTTGCTCTCAAGAGCAACATGCTGGCCCCCAGGGGCACACAAACAGTTCCCGGGAGCTTGGGCCGTTTTCCGGGGGTATCTGTTGCTCTTACGACCCCTGGGCTATGCCTTGTCATGTGGTCGCTGTGAGCCAGTCATCCGCAGGAGAATGAGGTGCTATTGTCTTAGCCGCGAGCATGCTCTCCCTACCCTCCTACCGAGGAAGCCATTGCTAATTACACAAATGGTACTTCACTTCTATTGCACTAAACAGAAGGAACGAAAATAACTATACATGGGATCCTCGCATCTGAGGCTATGGACGCTAATACCCAAATATATTTGATGAACCTGCTGCAAAAACCATACGTGCTCCTTACTGGCCCGCCGTCGTAACCGCCTGCGTTCCTTCCAAAAAATATTCCCCGTACACCTTATACATCTCATACGAAACAGTCAGTGTCAGTGAAGCAGACTGGCCGTTGACAGATTCACGTCTAGAGGTTGCAGATTGAGTAAGATAGCAAGCAGGGTCAGGGAAACGATTTGGATGCCTTTGGAGTCATGCTCGGCGGAGACTATTTGAGAATAAGACCCAAGCACATTCCAGCGAAGGTCGAAGCTTATGATGGGACAAGATGGATATATAACACAAAGAGCCATGTAGAACGCCTGCGCACAGGAAACCAATAGTTACGACAAGGCATCATATCCACTGTGGTAGTGGGGCACGGATATGGGGCAGGTTCAAGCGATGGTCCCATTCTTCCCTGGCTCGAGCTTCCTTCCCGTGCGAGTCGGACAGGGCCTCTTGCAGCTTGCGCATCCCAAGGAGATTGCGTCGGTTTCCCACCGGACTGACTTCGGGTTCAATTTCATGCTGCAGGATCAGATCGTCGGACACCTCGACTGCCATGGCCGCGAGGTCGTCGAAGATTTTGAGGCATGTGCGGAAGAATTGGTTCTCATCTTCCTGGCGCTTCCATCGTCGCCACTTCTCTTCCAAGGTGTCTCGCAACGAACGTGGACCGTTCTTTTTGGCATTTCGAAGCCGCAAACGGGTCGTCTCCAGGGCCATGGTTGTTCCCCGGGCCAGCGCAATTTGATGGTCGATCAGATTGATTTCCGGGAGATCATGCCTTGCAGGAGAGTCGGTTGGCCTCCTCCCCTTGCGCAGGATGGAGAGCGGGGGAACTAGGGCGACTTCGGGTTCTCGACTGTAGATGCTCGATGCTGCATCGTTTGCTGCTCTTCTCGTCCATATTGCAGACAGCGGCATGGCTCCGTTGGAGATTGAAATTAAAGTTAAACTGGCCGCTTGTGCAGACGAAATTGTGGAGTACCGATCCCGAACCAGCACAATTATCGAACCAGCACAATTATATATACTCGGGGGGATGTGTGAGGTTTGGATTAGGTGTATGCAGAAGACGGACTAGCGTGAGTCTTCCTTCACTGACACCTCCCGGGACCCTCATATTTCGGGCTCGGACATTAGCCGTTCGTTGGTTAAATCACGACTTTCTTTTCCTGAACCCGACCGTGTGAAAACTTGCTCATGCTCCGTTTGCTGGTAGGCGGACAAGAACGTCAATTGGGTGTCGAGTGCTGCTGCCGAGCGCAATTGTTTGTCCGTGGAACCGGCCTGTCTGCTATACAGGAGACAATTTACCCACCCTAGCATCACCCAGTCCATCTGCAGACCCAGGAGGCAAACCTGTATTTCAGACGTTCCTAAGCCGCTTCCAGCGAGCGTCAATGCGCACTACTTGACACGATTGGCACCGTCATTATTGATCGGTATATGTGTGCGCATTCGCCCCAGAAAGAATATCAATTACTACGGTAGAGAAACTAGAATTGAAGAAGCTGCGTAAAGTCTCCGGAGCCGGTTGCAATGTCATGATCGTTGTCAAATGCACCCCCTCCGTCCTCCTGTGTAGTCCACATATCCGGCGCCGCTGTCGTTGCTGGTAGAGCAGTTCTCAAGGCGGCAGGATCCGCATTTTCCGGTAAACCAGCAGGGCTCCAAAGTCGCTGGTGCCAATCCGTGACGGTATGCTGCATTTCAAGCACCAATTGTTGAGTTTCCTGCCGCTCGGAAAGCTGTTGTCTCCACCGATGCTGTTCGTTCACCAGTTTCTGCTTCTCACTCTCGACGCCTCGAAGGCGCTCCGATAGGGTCTCCTTGTCTTTCTCCAACGCTTCAATTTCCCGCTCCAGGGTTTCGACTGTAGCAAAACATGCCTCGTGGTTCTCCAACGATGGGGCAGAAGGAGGGTCTCGAGAACCAGAGCCAGGTACCTGTGCCAGCTGGTGGGTGCGTGGAGTCAGCGGAACGATCCGGGACCAGCAACCGTACGTGAAGGCTTACCGTGGATGGGCGTCGACGGGACCGCAGAGGCTGCTGGGGAGAACTCGTTACGAGCTCCGGTCTTTGGAAGCATCGTGGGTCGGAAGCGGTACTGCGACTCGGGGTCTTCCGGGTGCTTGCGCGGATGCCCGCCCGCGGTTCTGACTTTGGCATTTCCCGGTGACAACGGAACTCGTAGAGACACAATTGCGCATGTACCGTGCTGAAGGAAGAATTAGCTGGAGAAATTTAAATGCCTGCGAGCAAGCCTGACAAGAGGGAGTGAGCGCCATGGCAATGGCAGGTGGGTTCTAAGCAACGCGATTAGCCAAAGCAAGTTAGGGATAACCGCCCTCTGGTTATTTTGGCCACATGACCCGGGGTCACTATGGTTGCCCAAGTGAGACACAGTAATGGTTGAGGTCTGCGACAACCTGCTTTGCTGCGGGTCCAAGCGCCATGGGGTATTTGCTCGCCCAGAACGGTCAAATGTCTAAGTTAACCTTATTCGCTCTGATCTATACCAGAGTTCGTCTAGTCTGTGGTCTCTGAAACTGACCCACCTGGCCCGTGGTTCAAGGCTCCCTTCCCTCATTGACACTATCGCACAAAGTAGCATTGACCTGTGGACCTCATACAACCCTGGGCAACGGGGCATGTTGACCGGTGAGCGACGTGGTTAAGTTACGGGGGATTGTTGCATCAGTGCGATGGAATTTACCAGGGAGCAACCCCAGGGCAACGAATCCTCCACATTTAAGTGTTTCCTGGTCTCCCCTCCTCTTCCTTGTAGCCCCGCAATGCTGGACGTCTTCCGCATGGCAGGCAATACACGTACTGTATCTGGAACTTGCCATTTGTGCCGGTCTCTGCATGCGCAGTTCCCCCACTTACACCACGTTTTGCGATTTCACTCTCGCTCCCCATGGCCAAGAGACACTACCGGGCCTGGACTCCCGGCGAGGAACAGGACTATCCATCATGGGTAGCGCGCCATCTCCATTTAACGTGGCCGGAGAGGGCTCGGAAATATTCGATCGAGCGCAAACCCAGAACGAAAGAATCTCTGCGGACCAAATACTGTACCGGCTTCTGGAGAAAGACATACGACGGCACCGCCGCCCGATGTGCAAGACGCCATCGCGGCTCAGACGTCAGATCCCCAGGAGACAGGGCCGTGGCCGACGCAAAATTTGGTCTAGTCCTATCTCGATCAGCACCCCCACCCCTTCCGAGCATCGTTCAGACGACCCAACCCCTCTAAGGATGCGAATGATGAGGCCACCGGCCTCTACACGCGTTGCCCGCCCGCAGAATCACGGTCAGACCGCACGGTCGACTCATGGTCCGAAATCAACCGTCCAGTCCCCAGCTAAATGTGCGCACCGTCGCGGGTTTGAGGCGCATTGGGTTCGTAAAGGTCCGCGGGATCACCCCGGTAAGAGCATGCCCCGTGCGACGGGCGAAGCAGTCCGGTGTATTGACGACCTTCTTTGGTGCAGGGGACGAGAAAAACAATGGAATGCTGTCGCGGTCGTTGAATGTACCCTCCAAAATTGATCTGTTGTGGCGTTTAACATACCACGTCTCCGGTCGCACGAGGCAGTAACCCAAGTCGAATCAAGACATGCGGCCGCAAATTAGCTCTCCGCGATGATGTCCTAAGTGGTGGGGCATCGTGCCGCGCATGGTGCCCTTCTTATTGGCTGTTGGATGAGACAAAAACCTTTATCCGTCTGCGGTGAGGTCCCTGCAGATCGCTTATCATCCTACTGTGAGACCCCCTTCACGCTGCCCTATAGTGCAGGGTGATCTGCTGGCCGAGGACGCTAAGTCGCGAAATGTCATTATATGTGGTCTGTACAATTGCGATTAAGCACAGAGAGCAGCAGAAATTAAGCATCAGGGCTTCTTGGTACGCGAGCACTGCGCCTCTGCTCTTCGAGTTTTTATGCTGCAATCCATTTCTCCCCTCTACTACATCATTAGCTCAGCTCATGGAGTAACTTTATTTTGACCAATATTGGCGGGTCTGTTAATACGTTCATGTCTCCTGGCTGGTCAAAGAGTCAGTTTCACTCAATGCTCTCGAGTTGATAGTGCTTGTATATATCCCGTTTATATATATCTGACTGTTCATGTACAGAAAATTATTGATAGGCATAAATATGAATCACGAGCGACAAGGCTTAATTTTGTAGTAATCTAGGGTAATATCATATACAATCTCCAGTATATCCAAATGTTTGCCTCTCTGCTTCATGCCCTAAGCCCAGAGATCGAAACCCGAGGACATAAATATTCCCTCGGTGCTCATTCGGATTCCCCAGGCGGACATCAAGTTGAACCCCTGAAATAACTTCCCGAAAAGGACTAGATCCGAGCCTTGCCGAGCCAACCCCAGCAAATGTTGCTGACCCAAGGCCACAACGATCAACTAGACTAGAGGGGCCGACCAGAGGGAGACCAAATGACGCGCTCCTGCCCGGGCAATCTCACATCTTCGAACAGATTAATACCCGCACAGATCGCCCGGAGAAGACGGTATCGCAAATTACTTGACCGTGCTTAGCCGGTGATTTTTTCATCATTTTTTACCGGTAGTCTCTCGCTATCCTTTACAGTAACCCTATTTTCATCGTTCGGTGCCTCTTTAACTCATCTCCCTTCCTGCCCCCTTATTTTTACCCCCTCTTTTTCCACCCATCTCAATACCCTACCCCTGGTCGGCAGTTTACCCAACCCCCCACTGGATCTCCCATCGACCGCGACCAGGGACCTCAGAAGGCGATCATCATATACTTGAAGACGCATGTCACACCCAGCCTTGTCGATTCCTCAGCATGGCGCCGAATCAGGCTGCGCCAAAGTCAATGCAGGATTAAGAATCCGGGTTTTGATGCGCGGTGAGAAGCCGTCTGAATGACGGGCATTTTGTGTGTAATAAACTGACCAGCTAGCATCAGCAAGCGCAAGCAGGAATTTCTGCGTCAGCCGAATACAACTCAACCCTACTTACACTAGTTACAACAAAACTCACCACGAGAGCTAGATCGGTAGTCTTGTCGGATGATTTGCCCCGTTTGCGAGCCACCGGGCTCCCGGGTTCCCATATTCCGGAGTTGCCCAGGTCTTGCTTGGCTGCCTCATTATTCAGGCACGGAATATACTCCTAAATATTATAAACACCTCTATATTGAATATATCGAATATATTAAAATACATGTAAAACATGTATTATGTATTACCAGCTATTGTAAGCAGCGAGGAAATCTATGGAGAAAAGTATTAAAATCAATCGTATTATGTTTGTAATCTGTAAATTCATTATGAAGTCTTAAACTCTTCTAGTGGTTGAAATATTCTAGTTCAAAAAAGAGCGCCTTTTGTATGGCATTATTCGATGGACCGCTCGACAGTGAGGGCCGCGCGATCGTGGTATACGTTACGGTCTTCACCGCCACCCCGTCAGCCGACATGTGACCGATTCTATGGATACCCTGGATTACTGTGATTAACTACCACCACGCACGAAATACAAAGCATGGGATACAAGGAACTATCGAGAGGCTAGTGCAAATCCCGGACATACCTTGGCTACTTGAACTCAGTTTGCAGGGCGGCAACGTCTCTGCGCACTCATGGAGTATGAACCTACCATCTTCAGTCAACATAAATAATCGTGACAATTCCGATCCTGCATCTCGTGTACGGTAGAATAGGTAGAAAATACAACTGCAACTGCATTGATCGCCGAGCGCAACGCTTCTTTTCCTCGAACCCCTGTCCCGCCTCTTATGTTACTGTGGGTCCTCCGATGGAGGTTCTGAGAAGTCGATGGGCCTACTCCGTGGTCCTCCTGGCTTCAAGGCTACCCAGAATACTAGACCTCGCTATATTGCTTTTTTGGGTGCCCTTGGGTTTACCCGGAAACCTGCCAAGAACCCACAACCTCATATATACATGAATACATTTGAAATATTGGATCTTTTGTAAGGATTTCTATGTGATTTGCGTATATATTACTGTCATTTATTTCTCTTGGCGGGTTTTGGGTTGGGGGTCGGAACCCAACCCGCGATTTGGCGAGGTCTACAGAATGCTTATGGTCTCTGCATGGAGAGACCCAGATCACCCCGTCAAACTCTCTTCCTCGCTTTGGCAGGTAGCTTTAAAAGTGCGTGCTTACGGGCTGATCTTAACCTCCGCCTGTTGGAGCGATCGACTCGTCTCTACTAGCAAGAAAAGATGAAACGGTCCCAAAACTTTGTCCTTGCCGGCAGACGACACTTCACGAGAAGTCTATATTGGCCCTGCAGTTGCATTGAATCAGACAAAGCTTGAGTGCGGTTGTGATAGTCCAGTACATCGCTCTGACGGCGCCCAGACATGCAAAGGCAGTCAGCCCAGTAGGTTCCGGCTTGTCTGATGGGTAGTAACAGTCAGTTACATCGATCTCGAAATGATATGGGGTCACTTTGGTTGAACAGCTGACAAGGGTTAGACTGACGGCTGCACCTGATAAGGCCAGATAACGTTGGCGACCGTCTCGGTGCTCTTCAACTCTACGGTTAGATAATATAGGACCCCTGGATTGTCAGAAATCACTGGAGATGATTGATACGACAACCGAAAGGAAACCTCGTCTTTTCCTTCCTAACTCTCGTGGGAGGAGGCATCTCTGAGTCAAAACCTTGGAACGTTATGGGCCGCAGGAGTTACATGGTAAGTAGAAAGGCACAGGTTGGGTCAGGTGATTTCATTCGTCGTCCCAGCCTATCACGGATCGATGGTTATGCGGGAACCGCCCCACCTCTTATGAGCAGGAAACTCTCCATCTATATCTACATGTGCGCGGAAAATACTTTCACCGAGCAACCCCCTGGCTGACATTCGATGACAGGGGAGCCTGACCAACAACAGCGCCATGGGGTTTCCCATCCGCCTCTTCCCTTATTCACGATAAAGATGAGTGGAAACAACTCTCCAGACTATAAGGCGCTTTTTCTCAAAGCAGAGGAGGAACGGAAGCAGGAAGCCGCGCTGAGACGGCCGGCAGAGGAGCAGGCAAGGCAAGAAAGAGAGCGCAACCGACCCACGACTTTCTCAGAGTTCATCCGACATTGCCATGATCTCCTTTGGAGGCCACTCCGAGCGCAAACACTATCTCGCTCCACGACCGGCAAAATTCCTGCCCCTATCGGAAAACACTGTCCCATACGACTGCTTCCATGGACTGACTGTGAGGATAAACAGCGGGAGATTTACGCATCTGTCTGCCGCTACTTGCAACCGACCGAAGAGGATGCACGGCAGTTATTTACGTCACTGGTGGCGTTGGAAGACCACGGCCGACGATTTGCACGCCGACCGATTAGCAGCGAACAGGACCTCGAGACCTACGAACGACTCGCCGTTGAAGACCACGTGCACGATATCGTCGCTGAGTTATGCAAAATAGCAGAGGCTCGCGAGGAGTTCTGGTTAGGCAATGGGTTATGGTTCGATAACCACCCCAATGCTCTGGACGAAGATGAAGAAGTCGATGCTAGCCAACCATCGACCACGAGGCCTTCGAGGCCGGTTCAATTTTGCGTCTATCATGCGGACGGTAACCGACGTACCTTGCTCACCACGGTCGAGTACAAACCCACCCACAAACTCTCCGCTGCGAACCTACGGTTGGGACTCCGACCGATGGATTTTTGGCGGGAAGTGGTCCAACCTGATCGGGTTCCGGCGGAGGAGCCGGAGAAATCGAGGAACTCCCAGGACTCGAATTGAGAGGGCCCTGTGCCTCTGTTTGATGAGTTTTCGAGCTCCCCTTCGTGACCAGGCGTGGCGGAATGCTGTCAAACCTACATTACCGATATGGCAAACGAATTATGATAGCGATCGCGCTCAGATCGTGGTAGTGGAATTACCACAGGAGCTGGACCTGGACGATGCTACCTCTGCTAGTCCTGAGCCGTCAACCTCTGAGTACCTCACATCCTCGTCTCCTATCCCTAGCCGCCCTCGAGTGACCACCCGAGCGGCCGCTAGCTGCGCGCCACTGCCCGGTCCGTATCACCACGAGCCTTCTTGGGATTCCGAGGCCGACCCGACCGCATCTGCAGGACGGAAGCGAGGGTTCAGCCAGGTCACATCGTCCCCGCCAACCCAACGGTCCGCATCGGGTGCAGATCGCCAAGGGAACCAAACCGAAGCGGGCAATCTCGCTCCCATGATGCGCCATATTGCACACAGAAGTGCCTTCTCGGGCTACAGCGAGGCGGCGCGGTCGACCCTAAATGCCCCAACAAAAAGCTACATACGCTCGGCAGAAGGGGGGACCGCCATCCTATCAGCGCAGCGGACTTGGTGAAGAAACTCAAGGCGCAGCTCGATCACGATCTGGACCATAACTGCACCCCCATCGGCCCTTGTGGATCCTCCGGCGCGCCATTTAAGATTACGTGTGCCACCTTCGGATATACTGTTGCCGGGAAGGGAACAACAGCAAAACTCTGGGGGGTGGTCTCGCGCGAAGCAGACGTCTACCGGATCCTTCAGCGTGCTCAAGGATCGGCCGTTCCCATCTTTCTCGGGGCGATCAACTTGGCCCTAACCTACTTTCTCCACGGCGCGGGACGGATCCGCCATCTGCTTCTGATGGGCTGGGGCGGCGAGAGCGTGGCCCATACCACTCCGGATGAAAATATCCAGCGTGCGATCTCTCGGTCAGTGAAGGAGATCCGTCGTTTCGGAGTTGTCCACCATGATCTTCGCCCGGAAAACATCTTGTGGAATGCTGAGCTCCAGCGAGCTCTGATCATTGATTTTCATCTGTGCACCTTGGATTGTCGACCGCTGGACAGACGGCCAGGCGCACTCAAACGATTACGGTATGGTCCTGACGAACGTCACTCCAAGCGGGTGCGTGTGGTGTGAGTAACAGACACTGGAGCTGGGAGAACGACGTGAAAACTCAACCGGCGCTACGCATAGCCTACACATGAACAGCGGCGACCGCTGGGCGGTTGCTGAAAGTATAATTTTCTATTCGTGCCAGTACCTCAAGGACTCATTCATTAACGAACAAGAGATCTTAATCATGAAGGCTGCGCGGTACGAGAGTCAAATCCGTAGCCATCCCATTGCGTGGAACCTTCTCCCTGTTGTCGCTGTGCCGTTGGCTCACCAGCGGACACTCCCTCCCCATCAGCGTATTTGGTAGCCATCTCCTGCCATGTTATCTCTTGCGGCGTTGGGTAGTGCGAGGCCTGCCCTCGGTCAGCAAGTGGCTGCTAGTTAATGCCTAACACGTACAAGCTGCTCTCGTGATAGAGGCCATTGCGCACTGGAATTGAAGAACAGAATCTGCCCGTTGCGCTTAAGCCGTATCATCATAAAGACGTCGGGATCGCATTCCCGACAGTACTCGAAGGACCTCCAGAGGAGACTGTTCCTTCGACGAGCCTGTTTCTGGCGAACGAACTTGAGACTGTTGGAGTGGCGTGTGCGGATGATCTTTTGCTCTGCGGCCATTATATCTATATCGGGGTCCTTTCACTGAGGTCTCCAGACTCGAGAGGATATCTGGGGTTTAAATACCCCTGAGAAGCGTCGACGTGGACTCATAATGTCTGAGGATCGAATGTGAGAGAAGCTCGCAATGTGCCAGGTTGGGTGCTAGATGGTGCGATGGTTGCGACGAGGTGTGATGGGGTGCGATGGGTCCGATAGCTGTCAAAAGACGGCGATACTCCTTGGGAAATGCGATGGAGTCGTCTGTGAGGGATATCTAAGGAAGAAAGTTAGTTGTCAGTTGCGTTCAATCTCGTGGAGTATCTTGCATACGAAGGGTTCTTTTGCTTATGTGGTCTGGTACGGGTTCGCAGGAAATATATTCTGAGTGAGCGCTCAAGGCAGAAGGCATAGGGCCTGGACAACCTAAATCACCTGCATATCCCAGTTTCGGATATGAAACACAGTAGCCTAGAGAGGGGTTGGAATGGTCGGTTTTATCCAATTGGTATCCATCCTCGATTCGAGGGGGGTGCGTAGTACACACCAGAGGTGCTAACGTCTAGATTCTGACGTTTCACGCTTATTACAGTGAACGCTCCCTGCCCTACGGGCCTTTTATGGCAGGCATGAGCGAGGATCGTCGCCTGCCCCCGCTCCCAAGCGTGGAGCCCTTGCCCCGCGGACCCTTAGACCCGTTTAGTGCCAACGCCAGTGCCACCAGCGCTTCAAGGACCCAGCACACTTGCCTCGCTGGATCAACATGGTCGGGGGCTGAAGAGCGTGTTATGGCCATTGAATCATCAGCAAGCTCAGCGGAGAGTTCCTTGCCAGAACCCGACGAGTCTCAGGAGGCGTTCTTGTGGCCGCAAGATCTTTCCTCTCCTCAATTTCTTAATCTCATCGCCCCCACAAACATCAACCGCAAGCCGCCGTTGCAGCAGCAGTGCGGGAGGAAGCGCAAGGCAAGCATGGCCCTAGCGGGCTTGGACGACCAAAGGGAAAGGCACAGAATTGCAGAGGGAAACCGACGAAAGAACCTCAGCCAGCTGCACCGTGAGCTGGACAGCCGGATTCATGATTCCTTCCTGGAGCAAGCTGGTTGGAACCCTTCCAAGGGCCTACCGGAGTCCAAGGAACAAATTGTTCAGGCTGCCATCTTCCTCGTTGACTACATGGTCTCGATCATCATGTCCTTGCTTCGCCAAGATAACAAGACGCCACACCAGCTTTCGGAGTGCCTGACACCCCAGATCCGCTGCATGCAGCTGCAGCAGCTGGTGCTAAGCCTTCGGAAGCAGAATCAGATTTCCCAGCAGCAGCTCAGGAGTCTTCAGCAAGAAAATCAGACGTTGGTGGGGCGTATGCCTTCGTAGAATATGGTGCTGAGAGTACTTTCTGAGTGCAAAATTGAGGATGGGACGCACTGCAGCCGCAGAGCTATACGTCGGATGTGTGTCTATATGCAGAATGAAAGTGTATCTCCAATATGTATGTTTGCACAGCCGCCGGATGTTTTGGCTTGATGATGCAACTGAGTAACACCGGCGCAATGACAGGTTCCAAAGATGTAGATTATTGTAGCGGTGAGGTGTTAATGGCCACAATGATGCCGATGCAATTAAGAGGAAGGCACGGTTATTCCGAAAGAGACTTGATGTCAGGAACCAC